TTTTTTTTTTTTTTTTTCGACACAAACATTTATTTGATAATAATGAGGGGTATCACTTTAGGTGGACCCGGAGACACTGGAGCCCATATCTCGGATTGACAATTGGCGAGACATGCACAGGGACGGACGTGCTTGGGTGAATCGCCGAGCACAGGAGACTTACGTAAGTGCAAATTGCATCTTCTCATAAAATATACTCCCTCCTTTTCAAAATAAGTGTCGTTTTGACTTTTTGAATTAATCCATTTTGCTATGTATCTAGACATAAAAATATGTCTAGATACATAGCAAAATGGATGAATTAAAAAAATCAAAACGACACTTATTTTAAAAAGGAGGTAGTACAATTTTTTATTATTACATCCTTTAAAACCTCTTTTTTTTGGTAGCATCATCTCCAGGAAAGAGCCGAACAGGCAGCAGCAAGTAGCAGTGGACGTGTGAACGAGCGTGCAATAATGGAGGAGACTTTTGGCCGGAGAAGAGGCCACATGACTGGCGTGGGCCCCAGCCTCTCTCGTAGGGCCCCAACCGCAGCCCCACAAGAACCCGTGCTGCTGCCTTGGGGTTTGGACTTGCAGAACGCGAGGCGAGACCAGCTGGTCAGCCTAGTCGAGCACTTGATTGGGCTGCTAAGGCAGTGGGCCCCCAACGTGCAGATTCCCCAAGTCTTTCCTCGGCCATCTGGTGGGCCGCCGTCCTCGTCCAATTCGCGTAACCCAAACAGGTTCAACGATGGTGCTGAGGATTTCGATTTGAATGATTAGCTTGATTTGTCTGGTGAATTTTGTTATATTTTAGATTATGATTGTTGAATTTTTCGTAGAGTTTTCAAGTGTAAATTGTGTTTATGTGACTATTTTATTATTGAAAAAATGTGAATGATTTTTTTTGTCGCATGATTATTTGTGGGGTGCATTTTTGGAGCAATTTTGTCAGTTACTGAAGCGGATTTGCATGGTGTCAAATGCCAAGTGATGGTGATGAGAATCGGGCTTTCGAGTGAAAATCGCATCGCGTGGATGATGACGACCGGAGAAGTTGGATTATTATGTATTAGATAGGATTAATTTAGATAAATTATGTTAGTTACTTTTTAAATTTCAAATAAGTTAGTTAGTTAGTTGTAGGTTTGAATATTTAAATTTGAATGTTGTTTTTGTGTATTATAAATAGGACCTTTGTATTCACTATTAGAAGATTTTTTTTTTTTTTTTTTTTTTTTTTGATAGAGGAATCAAGTTTTATGAAATAAGAAATAAGAAAAAGGCTCGTTTCTGAGTACTGTCTTAGTGAAAAAATCGAGGTTCATAGTGCAGGTTTTTCACTTATTAATGTGTAAATCAAGGCTGTTAGTGTGGATTTACACATTTTATCGTATTCGAACGAATGAGTCTACATACACTATCTTCATCAGATGGCTAAGGCTCATACTGAATTTTGAGATAATATTTACTTCATTGTTGACAATATTGGATATTCATAAAAGACCATACAATTTGCGGTGCAATGTTAGTTGGATTGGAAAAAAGAGAAACCGAGGATGCTTGGATATGTATATAAAAAAAAAAAAAAAAAAGTTTTGTTTGGATTTTTTGTTTGATTGGTTAATTTTGAAAAAGTTGTTACGGTTAGTTTTTAGTGGGTATATTAAAATAATATTCAGTAAGAACTGATTTGATGTAAAGTAGGAGATAGAAGATTTGAGGTTGTGGTAAGTTAAAATGATGTGAGTTGATGAATAATGAATTAAGGTGATGTGGTGTGTACGAATTTTAATTGATATTATTTAATTATATTGATAATATGGATGATATGGAGGTTGAGTTAAAAAAAAATGATTGAGTTAAAAATGTTGATTTTATTGAGATATTTTGTATCCACGCATGCTCACCTCTCGTGGCTCCCAAATGGATTCTCATTTTTTTTTCTTCTTTTTATTATCAACTAGTAATTAAAGTGAACGTTCACCTAATACATAACATTACATAATAAAAAAGTCCATTAAATAGTGAATTAGGTCAAATATATCAATATTTAAAAACATAGTTTTTCATATAATTTTAATACTTGAAAAAAAGTACATAAAAAATTGGTATGCAAATTTTCATTTTCTACATTAATATTTTTGTTTTAAATCACTTTTTAGTTTAGGCCAAGATACAAATATGCCCAATAAATTAAAATACTAAAACATTTATGTAATTGCAGAAAGGGTCATGCTACATGTACAACTAGTGTTGACAACATTAGTTGACAACACTAATATCCACTAACTAATAAAAATCAAGTTATAACATGATTGAAAATACAATTTTAGGACAAAATTACCAACTAATTGCGTAAAATTAGGAAGAAATGTTTGATAACATGTGTGCTCGGGCAAAATATATGTTATTTGATTGGCTAGTGAATTTTTCGTACAATCACAAAATTATTGAGAAAAATCGTCATCTATTTTAAAATACTGAATATATTTTACAATTTTATCACTTATTTTTTTTGTTATTGAATACTTATTCACATATTTTGCACCAGGTGGCTCAACAGCGTCGTTATTTCCTTAATATTTATTAATATTGTAGTCATTTTACTTAGTATTTTTTCATAATATTCATGTTGCTCTCCTCCACTTTAAAAAGTTATTATTAATATTTTTTTATGGTTTAAAAGTTATTATTATTGAATTTATTCTTTAATTTTAAAAATTTTCATTAGCTTAATAATCTAAATATAAATAAAATAAATTATATGCATAAATTACTATGCACTGAAGTTTAATCAATATTGGTATATTTAAAGCTATGATTAAATAAAAATAATAAATGTTTTTAAATCTAAAAATAAGATTAATTAGTTTTTCAGTGACTGTTGGTTGTTAGCGAAATCTTCTTTATCTTTCATTTCTTACTTGATAGTATCTTTACCATTGATTGAAATCATGATCATCGTTGTCGCCTTTTTATTGATATAATTTTCTTATGATTAAATTTTCTCTTAATTATATTATTCAATATTATTTTCTTTCTGCATTTCTTTTTGCATTTAAATATTTTATAGAAATCTTATTTTATTTTTATATAATCATTTATATTATATATTTATTCATAAATTAAATTGTATTATAAAAAATGTATTTGAACACATATGTTTTATGTAATTATATGTTTGTGTTAGTTAATATTAATATGTTTATACATACAAAATTCACTTATTTATTATATAATATGAATGTAATAATACAATAATATATTATTAATATATAGTATATTTTTTTAAAAAATAATTTTATTATTATCATAACAAAGACAATAATATAAATATTAAATTTTTTAGTACAAAAATAGTGACAAATGATAATATAGGATGATAGTGTCATTTTGTTTCATTCTTTTTTTATAATCATTTTATTTTTCAACTCATTTTATTACTAAATAATGTCAAAACCGAGTTGCGGATATTTCATGGATAATATAAACGTGCTAATATAAAGTAGGGAGATGCTACGTTTCATTATGGAACCATTCTGTCGAAATTTGTAACTGTTAGATTAACTATCTCTACCCGATGATTTAACAGTTACGAACGGAATTTCAAATGTTTTACTATGTACTTCGCTTGGATAAGGATGACCCACAGTGGAGGAGCCGTAAGCTAAAATAACAGACACGACCACCACACAGATTAATTAATATTCAGCTATCCGTAGAAAATCTTCACGCAGAACAGTACACACAGTGGGCTTAGGAGAAGAAGAGGTGCATTTTTATGGCAATGGCGGAAGGGCTCAACATTGCTGAAGATGTAAGCCAGGTGAAATTAGCATTAACCTCTATCTCTCACGCTCTCTTCTCCTCTATATTCATTCTTTTTTAACTAATTCATCTCCAATAGGCAATAACTTATTTCCATGTGATAATTTTATTTTTTTTTTTTGGTACAACATGTGATAATTTTATGGTCCAATAGAGAGAGAGAGAGAAAAAAAAAACCCTAATTGAAGAACTTGATATCATGTCTCAAGTTGAATTAACTTTATCAGAGGAGATGCTGAGATTAAAGTTTAGTTCTTTGTGCAATTTCCGCGATTTTTCAGTTATGAATATGTTTTTAGAATCAAGTTTTTGAAATGAATATTATTAGAACCGGGGGAAGAGGGTGCCGTCCCACAAGATGAAACGTACCATAAGGGGGGGTGAGCTTAGGTGTACCTTGTTTCATCCCAGAACCAATTGGTAATGGGAGGACTAGCCGACTAGACTTATATACTAGACTATAGAAATAATGTGGGACAACTCACAAGTGATATTCCAATAAAGATTGACTGAAATATTGTGGTGGAAAAATGAGAGACTTTGGAGGACTGCTCCTGTGTCCTAACAACCTTGACAAACTGAGAATTTAGTAGTTGTTTCTTCTTTTGAGCTTCTTATGTTTGATAAAATCAAAGTGTAGTCCTCAAATATCAAATTTGTCAACTACAGCCCTATTCCGAGATGGGTATGGTGATAATTCCGTGAATTTAACGGTTATTGTTCTAATATTTTATATTAGTAATGGAAACACAAATGAAACTTGATATTTTTTTTAATTATTATTATATTATTACATTATTATTTACGTTTTTCTTAAGCTAAATTGGAAACACCTTCAGTGTCCAAATAAATCAAGCCGGGGATAAAGAAGCACATGAGGCAAGCTAATGTGCAGTATCGCGCTTTGTATATGAGTGACATGTCTATAATGATTATGGTGGCACTGGTGAAATCCCAGCAGCAACTTCACTGAAATCGATTTATTGAGTGTTAATGTGTTATTGACACGTGGTACTCTCGATTGCCTAAGAATTCCTGTATATCCTACGAGTCTCGATGCACTTGTGGCATGTGATAATGTGTGTTCGATCTTTTTATATCCTATCATGTATCACTTTTGCGGTACATAGTTTTTTTTTTTTTTT